GGTCTGCCTTGCTCTCTCCTTTCTTAGAGATTTATTTGAAAGGCAGAGCTACAGAACAAAAGGAGAAAGAGAGAGAGGTCTTCCATCTGCTGCTTCACTCCCTAGATGGCTGCAGGGCTGGGCCAGGCCAAAGCCAGGAGCCTGGAACTCGGTCCAGGTCCCCCACGTGGGTGCAGGAGTCCAAGCACTTGGGCCATTGTCCACTGCTTTCCCAGGCCGTTAGCAGGGAGCTGGGTTGAAGTGGAGCAGCCGGGACTCGAACCAGAACCCATACGAGTCCGGTGCTGAGCAGGTCAAGCTGCCACCGGTGACACGGGCGTCCCATACAGGTTCTGGTTCTGGTCCTGGTCCCGGCTGCTCTGCTTCTGATCCAGCTCTCTGCTGTGGCCTGGGAAAGTCTCGGAAGATGGCTCAAGTCCTTGTCCCCTGCAGCCACGTGGGAGACCAGGCAGGGGCTCCTGATCAGCCCAGCTCCGGCTGTTGCAGCCACTGGGGAGTGAACCAGCGGGCTCTCTCTCTCTGTCAGATAAATAAATCCTTTTAAAAAGGAGAAATAGTAAAGGACGCCGGCCACTGGGTCCTGGCACTCGTGCCCATCCCTGGCTCGCCTCTCCCTGTCCCGCAGGCACCAAAGGTTGGGACCTGCACAGAATCTGGGGGACTGTGCCGCGGCCCACGACACACACCGTCCTGGCTCATCCATGGCATGTGCGGAGGGCGGTGGCCTTACAGGACGGACTGCTGGGCGACAGCCCCAAGGCCAGCTCTGGGCGACCTTGGGCCGATGCCTGGGCCTCTGCTCCCCATCTGTGGAATGGGCACTCGTGACTCCTGCATCACAGGGCTGCAGGCAGGGCCGGAGCGGCCCTGTACGGTGGGGACACTGCCGCGGACTCGGCCCACGGGGCCCGGAGCTGGCGCCAGGCCGGGCGGCCAGACTGCTGGGTCTGTCTGTCGCCCACCCTGGCCGGGCCGGCATGGTGGAGTCCACCTGGCCACACCTGCTGCCCCTGGAAACCCCATCTCAGGGTTGGATGGGAGCGAAGTGCCCTCTGCCTCCCCTCCCCAGTGCTGCCACTGCCCCCCCCCCAGCTCTGCTAATGTCTGGGCCTCACTTCCCCCCCAGCCCTGGCAGGGGGCACGGCAAGGGAGGAGGGGTGGCGGGGCACAAGCCTCCCGGGGCATCCGGGAGCCTCCAATAGCTCAGGGAGCCTCACACCCCCAAATATAGGTCAGGGGAGGCGCCCAGAGCAGGCGGCTGCGGCACCGTGGCAGCACGGGGAGGGCACTGGCAGCACGCCCCGCCCCGGCAGAAGGGGAGGAGGCAGCTGCTGCCCTGTGTGCACAGCCCTGCACGGTGACGGCGGGGGGACGGACCGGAACAGGGCCCCGAGTCGCCCCAAAGGTGCTTTTCTGTGCCAGAGAAACGGTTTGAGAATGCGGTCCGTGTCCTCGGCCCGTGGCTGCTTGGAGCAAGAGTCAGAATCGGGGCTGCCCAGCACCCCCGAGGCTCCTGCCTCTGCCAGCTTCCAGGTTCCGCGGCTGGCGGCTCCCGCCACACACGGGGGCCCACTAAGAGCCCAGGGTGGGGCAGAGGCCAGGGCCTGCCCTGCGGTGGGGGGAGACAGGCCTCCGCCCAGTCCCCACACGTGACACCTGATCTGCCCTGGCCTCCTGGCACGTCCCCTCAATGCCTGGGGACAGCGTTCCCAGCGTCTGTGTCTGACAGAGCTGCCCCGACAAAGGCCCCTCCCCCCTCACCACTGGGATCCCCTGAGACTTCCCAAGGTCCTGAGGGGCTTTCCACGGGGCCCCGTCTCCTCCCAGAAATGTTCTCTCCTCCCGGAAGACCCCTGAGCTGGGAGAGGCCTACTCACTTCCAGCCCAAGCTTAGGTGATGCCGACACCACGAGCCGCGTCCCCTGGTCCCTGTGGGTGATGCCGACACCACAAGCTGTATCCCTGTCCCGTGGACGGACACCGACACCACGAGCCCACGTCCCACGTCCCCTGTCCCCGTGGACGGACGCCGACACCGCGAGCCGACCCTGCTGCTCAGCCTCAGCACCATCAGGCCCCCGGGGCCCTCTACCCATCGTGACACCGAGCTGTGCCCTCACCACCCCGCCGACGAGGTCAGAATAGGGCAGGGCTGACAACTCCCAGGGTGGCACCAGGACTCCTTGACACCTGGCGGCTTCCGTACCCTCTTCAGCCAGGCTCTGCCTTGTCCAGGCACAGCCTGTGGCTGTGTCCGCCTGTTTGGCAGCCCCCTCACCTGGACACCCTGTCCTCGCCGCCACCGTCTGCATTATCGCTGGGCGCCCGGCGGTCAGTATCGCCATCCGTGTCCTCCTGGCAGACCGCCTGGCTCCCTGCCCCCTCCCCCATGCCCCAGAAACTCCCTGCCCAGGGCTGCATGGTTGGGGACCACACAGGGACACAGGCAGGGTGAAACAGGCGGTCAGCTTGCGGGCGGGGCCTGGCCAGCCTCACACCGAGGGGAGGCGCTGGAAGCAGGGGCTCACCACACTGCGGGAGGCGGGGCCTTCCCACTGCTACCTTCTGCTACCTTTTGATTTGCAAATAATGACCACATGACGTTTTGATAATAAAACTGGCAAAGATTTATCCTTGGGAAAAACAAGAGTAAATCTGATTCTTGGAGCTGTGGGGGAGGGGGAGTGTGGAGCCTCAGGGGGATAGCGTGGGGCCTTGTGGGGTAGCGTGGGGGCAGTGTGGGGTAGCGTGGGGCCTTGTGGGGTAGCGTGGGGGCAGTGTGGGGCCTCGTGGGGGCAGTGTGGGGCCTCGTGGGGGGCAGTGTGGGGCCTCATGGCCTGTCACGCTGCATCCCACGCTGGGAGTCCATCAGCTCTCCGCTGATGCCTGCGTCCACCCAGGCTCACGGACACCCTTGGCCGAGTCGGTGTCCCTGTCCTGGCTGAGTGACTACCCCTTCCAGCAGGGCCCCCCGGTGGCCTTGAAATAGTTCCCAGGGGAGAGGGGACGCGCCTGGCTCTGCCACCTGTGCACAGCCGCAGAGCCGAGCCCCGCACTGGCCTCCAGGGCCGCAGGGTGCACCAACATCTGGCTCACTCACGGTGAGGGCGCAGAGCCGCCCCCGACCGTGCGGACTTCAGGGACGCCGCCCACAGGGGTGCACGAGACCCTTGCAGCGGCGGCTCGTCCACTCAGTCCCACGTCCTGCCAGCTCCTGTCACCGGTCCCCCTGCGTCCTCTGTCGCGACTCTGTCTCCCAGAGCGGCCCTTCTTGGGCACAGGGTGCCCCGGCTCCCCTGCTTCTCCCGGGGCAATGGGTGACGCCCTGGGGTGCTCACAGCTACCCGGGTTTCCATGCTCTGCCGTCTGTACGAGGAAATTACCCGAGCACTCGGGGTTCAGCTCCTGCTCCGCTCTGACTCCGGCAGACCCCGAGAGGCAGCAGCGCTGGCTGGGGCACTGGGAGACCTGCCTGGACGGCGCTCCCGGCCCCCGGCTGTGGCGTGGCCCAGCCCTGCTGCTGTAGGCATTCGGGGAGTGAGCAAGTGGACGGACGGGACAGAGCCGTCTGTCTCTCTGCTTTTCAAGGAACTAAAAAAGACGTTTAGAAGAAAAATGACAATTTTAATTTTTTAAAAGCCATTTATTTACTGGATAGAGTGTCGGTGAAGGAGGGAGAGACAGAGACAGACAGATCTTCCATCCTTTGGTTTACGCCACTGGACGGCAGACTGAGCCAGTCTGGGCCGGTCTGGGCCAGGCTGAAGCCAGGAGCCTGCAGCCCCACCTGGGCCGTCTTCTGTGGCAGTCCCAGGGAGCCGGACGGGAAGCGGAGCGGCCGGGACCAGAACCGGTGCTCCGGCATCACGGCGCTGGCCTGACCCGTCGCGGGCAGCAGGGACCTCCCCGACCTCCCGTCAAAATCCGGCGGCCGGCGCCAGGGCGCTCACTGGCTCTGCCAGGGCCCATGGCGCCCGAGCACAACTCTGCCAGCCGCCACTCGCGTGGCTGCTGGCTCCGCGGGACCCTCCTGGACTCTCCGGCCTCAGGACAAACCCTGCTAGGACGGCGGCAGATTCTGTCAGCGAAGCCGCCCCCTTCCCCGAGGTCACCGCTCTGACAAGTGACTTCGCGGCAGGTGGCACTTTCTGGAACAGCTACCGGACGTCCCATCCCCCACGCTCACGGGGGGAGGGGGGGAGGGCATCGCCACCCCGCAGGTTAGGTCCTAACAGGCCTCCCTCTCGGGACCCGGCCGGCCCCGCCAGCCCAGTGCCGAGTGCTGACACCGGAACAGGAGGCGGCTGGGACAAGCCTGCTGCGCTTGGTTCTGGGGACGCTGTTCCCGGACGGGCACTGCACACGCCACGCACAGATGCCCAGAGCGTCCTCGCCGACGCAGGCCACGCTGCTGCCCCTCGCTGCACCAAGCGCCCCCGACCACAGGCTGGGGCCCGGCTCTGCCACAGCGCACGCGTGCGTCACCGGCACAGGTGTGAAGCAGCGCCCGAGCCCTCGCCCTGGCCTCACACGGCACTGCCTGACCAAGGGCAGCTTCGTACGAGCAGGGCCGGGGCGCAGGGTCTGCTGGGCACACACAGCAAGTGGACAGCACCCAGGTCCTGGCACAGGCCTCGCAGGTTCTGGCTTCTGCTTCCGCCACAACCAAGGACGTCAGGCGTGTCTGGGCGTGGGCGTGGCCCCGACACTGCACCTCGGGGCTGAGGCCCCCCATCTCCCCCACCAGCCTGCAGGTCCTGAGCCTGCTGTCACCGATGGCAGTCGTGAGCAGCTGGCCAGGGGCTGCCCGGGGAGAAGCTGCAGGGCACTGTCAGAGCCAGGCCGGCCTGAGCCGCCTGTCTGGGGCTCGGCGGGATCTGCCAGTCTGAGCAGCCTCCTTCCTACTCAAGGCACCCACAGCAGGGACTCGCCGATCGCCGTGCGCGTGGGCCGCCCTCGGCTGGCTCGGCTGAGCGGCGCGCAGGGAGGGTGGCTGGGCCTCACTGTTCACAAGGCTTTATTAGCACCCGCCAGAGCAGGCCTCGGCCTGCACGGGGAGCCGCCGGCCCTCACGGGGAGCCCCCGTTCTGAGCCATCTGCAGGTACTCCTGGTGCAGCCTGCCCTGCGCCTCGAAGAGCTTCTTCAGCTTCTTGGCTTGGCCTCGGCTCAGCTCCTTGCCTTCCGAGTCGTGAGTGGGCAGACCCTGCAGCGGGGCGGCCCCTGGTCAGCCACGCGCGGCCCACCCCAGCCGGCCGAGGCCGAGCACTCCCACAGCCCGGGAAGGAGGAGGCCTTACGTTGTCATCAAACTTGGAGTACTTGTCACTTTCGGACAAGAACATCTCGCTGGGCGGGATCTTCATCCTGGCCAGCTTTGCCGCCTGGAACACAGGACGCAGGGTCACGGCCCCCGGGCCCCACGCGCGGGCTGCTCCCCCGTCCCAAGCAGGGCAGGGGTCCTCCGGGAGCAGCGGCACAGGGCAGGGCCCCGCGTAGCCGGCTGAGCCGTGGAGCACGAGGTCAGAGTGCACGTGCCCGGCAGCCCCCACCCCGGAAAAACGCACGCGCGCTACCTCCTGCTCCTGCTTCCTCCTGGCGGCCTCCTCCTTCTTCCTCCGCTTCTCGTCCTCAGCCTAGGGCAGCAGCACAGGACGGCGAGGGGCCTCACCAAAGGGCCTGGTGCAGGCTGACCTCACTGGGCCCTCCCCGCCCCACCCACTCCTCCCAGGACTCTCGCTGGCCCTGCTCTGGACACGGTGGGCAGCAGAGAAGCCCATCCTGGGAGGGGCGGAGTCACGTGGCGGCCAGAGACAGCTCTGCACCGGCTGACCCCGGGCACCCGGCCCAGGGGAGCCACTGCCTAGACAGGAGCGGGGCAGACGCCGCAGCCCCCTGGGACGTCCTGGTGTCGGACTGCTCTGGGCACAGGAGGGTCTTGGGAGGACGTGACAGGCGGTGGACTGGACGAGGCCACCAGGGAGGGAAGAGGGCCCTCAGACCTGCGGGTGGCGGAGGGGCAGGGCCTGCACCCTGAGGGCCCCTCTCTCCTGCCAGACAGCACGGCTCTGAGCACGGACTGTCCCACTGCCTGCACTGGCTGCTGAGGGTGAGGGTCTCTGAGTTGGGGGGGGGGGGGCCTGGGGGGCCCGCTGGAGAAGACGGCTCTCCTTCCTGGCTGCATCTGGCGCTGGACACTGGGACAGCAAATGAGCCCCCAGATGAGAACCCGGGGGACCAGGCCCCGGCAGGGCGTGGCCGGGCTCACTGACCCTCCTCTTCTCTTCTCTCTCCTTCAGTAGCGTGTTCCTGTCCACCAGCTTCACCACGGTCGGCAGCCCTGCGGAGCAGACGGCCCGTGAGAGCCCCGGGGCCCGGGGCCGCCTCACCGCCCTCACCGGCAGCACCAGCTCCAGGCAGGTCCCTCGGGCGAAGGCGGAAACACAGGCCTCCTGCACACGGGGACACTGGTGCTGTGGGGGCGGCTGCGGAGGCAGGGTCACAGGGAAGACCTCAGCTGAGGATGGACAGGTCCCGCGGCGCGGCGGGCTAGGCCGCAGCTTGGAACACACAGGAGAGCCGGGTTCAGTCCTGGCTGCTCCACTTCTGGTCCAGCTCCCTGCTAATGTGCCTGGGGAGGCAGCGGGAGACCCAAGGGAGCTCCTGGCTCCTGGCTCCAGACTGGCTCAGCCCTGGAAGCCCGGGTGAGCGCACTCTCGCTCTCAGCCACTCTGCCTCTCCAACAGGACACACTGGAGGCAGCCCTGGTGGCTGCCGGTCGGTGAGCGCCGGGGGCACTGCGGGGACCCGGCTGGGGGCTCCGCTCTGGGACTCCTCACAACACTCAGAATCGCCTGGGACTTCTCCCCGCGGCCTGTCCCCTCCGCCGTGTCCTCCTCGGCCACCCAGGCTCCCTGAAACACGGCCGACAGCGCAAGGGCCTCACCCACCTTCGTGGTCTTCCAGCCGCACCCCCAACTCGGGCAGGACCTCGTCCCGGAGGGTGTCAGTGAGCTGCAGAATCTCGGGGACTGTGGGCAGAAGACGAGTTCTGTCAGACACAGCGGGCCCAGGGCCGGGCCGGGCCAGGCCAGGACCAGAGGCGCCCGGCCAGCACCGCGGCCGGGACGCCACCTGATGCGCCGTCAGAAAGAGCCCCAAGTTCCCTGGTCGCTCTGGACGCTCCGAGAGCCGGGGGCAGCCCCCAGGTGCCCGGTGCCGCTCGAGTCCTGCAGGCTTGGCTGTTCTCACACCACGGCCAGGCCAGCCTGGTCCCGGGACTGTGAGCTCCATGGGGTCAGGGCTGGAGCTGTCCCAGGACCCCCGAGGGCAGGAGAGTGACGACTCGGAAGGCAAGGAGCTGAGCCGAGGCCAAGCCAAGCAGACTGCTGCCTGGCTCCGTGGGAGGTGGCTGCCCACACGCAGGTGGCCTGAGAGCCTGAGAGGGCGCAGGGCCAGCAGGATTTGCCGTGGCTCTGCCAGGAAGGTCCACACACTGCGCCAAAGGCCTGGGTGGGACCCAGACTGCCGGCGGCGGCCTCGGTCCGTGGGGGACACTCTCATCTCCAGGCCAGTTTCTCTGTGTGCATCAGAGACAGAACCAGTGGCCAGTGCCACCAGGAGCAGGGCTTCCTGTCGGGAGCAGTGGTCAGGGAATGCGGCCCCCGACAAGCCCCTGGTCTTGGGTGCACTCAGGAAGACTGGGCCCCAGCCACGCCCTCTGCCCACCCCCCCCAAGCTTCTCCGGGCGCTCAGGTTCCACCCCAGCCTCAGGGCTGATGGGACGGGGGCGGGGGGGGGGGACGACGACGCGAGGCCCTCACTGCCCTGGCCCCCAGGTATCCGAGTGGAGGCGGGTCCCTCTCCCAGAGCCTCTGGAGCAGCAGGACAGGAAACAAAGCCTTCTGTCCCCACAGCCGCTGCTCTCCAAGGAGCGGCCTTGACTCTGGAACCTGACCTTGTTCCCCAGCTTGCAGGACCCTGCACTGGGCAGCAGCCACCACCCCCGTGACAGGCCCAGGACCGCGACAGCAGCCACGCCTGAGCGTCTCCCCAGGTCTGAGCCCCCCCGGAGCAGTGCCCCTCGTGTCGGGTTCCTTGCTCTGCCCCAGCCACCCGAGGAGCGCCTGACCCTGGGGCACACATCGAGGCGGGGGCCCAGACGGCACACCCATTGGAGGGGAGCAAGACTGCACCCCGCACCACGGTGACACGCCTCCTGGGAGCTCACGGCCTCACCCCAGGCCTGCGCCACCCCAGCCCCGCCGTGACGGAACCCTCAGGGTAGGCCCCATGAGGCCTCCCCCAACCAGCCACACTCCCTGGAGGAATGGGGCCCAGGGGGTTGCGTGCGTCAGGCCTCTGAAGAGAGGGGAGGGGGCCGCCTCGCCCAACGCCGCGGGCCTCTGGGCACCTGGCCTCAAAGGTCTTCAGCCCCAGAAACTTCAAGGAGACTCCTCACTGCCCCACAGCCTCACAGGCCTGACCACGGGGCACACAGATCCAGGCTCCCCAGCGCCGCAGCGGCACAGCTCACAGCCCACGCTGGAGAGCACCAAAGTCCTGCCGGGGACGGCGGTAGACACGCGAGCTGGCTCAGCAGAGCCCCCAGGGGCCGCGGTGCTGCCGGAGGAGGCAGGTGGGCAGGGTCATGCCAGTCGGCAGAGGCTTCCCGGGTGGGGACTTCCACTGCAGCTGGGGCAGCTGCTTGGCGCAGTGGTGAAGGTGCCGGTGAGGGCGGGCACTGTGGCACCGCGGGCTACGCCATGGCTGCAACACTGCCATCCACGTGTCCTGGCCACTCCACTTGCGCTCCAGCTCCCTGCTAGCGCACCTGGGAGAGCTGTGGAGGACGGCCCCGGGCCGGGCCCTGCACCGTGTGGGAGACCTGGCCTCGGCCTGGCCCAGATCTGGCTGTGGGGCCATCGGGGGGTGAACCAGTGACGGAAGACCTTCCTCTCGCTCTTTGTCCCTCTGCCTCTCAAATAAATAAGATCAATCTTGAAACAACGCCACTTTCCGTGATCCTCATCACGGGGCCGGCACTGTGGTGCAGAGGGTGAAGCCTTGTGGTCAAGTGGCTGCTCCACTTCCGCTCCAGCTCCCTCCCCGCTGATGGCCTGGGAGAGCAGCAGCAGGTGGCCCAGGTGCCCAGGCCCCTGCCCCACGCAGGAGACCCAGACGAAGCCCCTGGCTCCTGGCTTTACCCGGCCCAGCCCCGGCCATGGCCATTTTTTAATTGGGAAAAAAAAAAATTTTTTTTTAGATTTGAGCAATATAATTTGGTGGAATTCACATAAAACTAACCGTCTTAAAGGGAACAACTCCATCACATTAGTATACTGAGTGCTATCTCTCTACTGCTCTGGCTTTCAGTTAAATAAAAATAAATTTTTGTTACAGATTTTATTTATTTGAACGTCAGAGTTACATAGAGAAGAAGAGAGAGATCTTCCATCTGCTGGTTCATTCTCCAGTTGGCCACAACGGCCAGGGCTCAGCCAGGCCAAACCCAGGAGTTTTATCCGGGCCTCCCACATGGGTGGCAGGTGCCCACGCCGTTGGGCCACCTTCCGCTTTTCCCAGGCCACTAGCAGGGAGCTGGGTCTGGAAGTGCAGCAGCCAGGACTCAAACCGATGCCCATTTGGGAGGCCAGTGTCATAGGTGGTGGCTTTACCCGCTACGCCACACAGACCCCAAATTTTTAAAAACTTTTATTTGAAAGAGAGAGAGTCAGAGAGAACTCTCCATCCCCTGGGCCAGGCTGAGCCAGGAGCAGGGCACTCATCCCGGGTCTCCCGTGCAGTGGCAAGGCCCACCTGCTGCCTCCCAGGGTGCACAGCCGGTGAGGCCAGCTCCCTCCAGGCACCCCCGAGGCAGCTGAACCACTGTGCCAAATACGTGCTTGTCCCGGAAGTTGTAAAAACATTTTTAAAACTTCGAGAGCGAGGGAAAGTCCGACAGAGAGCACTCCGCCTGCTGGACCCACTGGTAAATGCTTACAACCGCTGAGCCGGGGCCAGGGCGCAGCCGGAAGCCCACAGCTCCATCTGGGTCTCCCCCGTGGCTGGCAGGCATCCAACCAGCTGAGCCTTCACCACGGCCTCCAGGTCTGAACCAGCAGGGCCCGGGGTCAGAGTGCAGCCAGAGCCGCGCTGGGTGCAGGTTCAGCCACCGCTGCTGGCGCCGGCACCCGCACGGCGTTGGTTCAGCTCCAACCTGGCTCCCTGCGGCTGCGTGTGGGGAGGCAGCAGAGGGCAGCCCAGGTGCCTGGGCCCTGCCGCCCGTGGGGGAGGACTGGGTGGAGTCCCCCACTCCTGGCTTCATCGGGGATGAACCAACAGGTGGAAGACACCTCGCTTTTTCTCCTTTCTGTCGCCCTGCCTTTCAAATAGATTGAGAAATAAATAAATCTTAAAAAAAAAAAAAAAAAGAGTGGAACCAGATGTTGAACCCAGGTACTCAGATACGGGATGTGCTAGCTGCTTCTGTTTTTTTTTTTTTTTTTTCCTAAAACTTATTTGTTTGAAGGTGGAGAAACAGAGAGACAGAGGAGACTTCCATCCGCTGGTTCACTGCCCAGACAGCCGCCACGTGCGGAGTTCCTCCGCTGCCCGCAACAGCGGCGCCCCTGAGGCCTGGGGAAGCAGAGGTTGAGGGTCCAAATCCCTGGGCCCTGCACCCACTCGGGAGACCTGGAAGAAGCCCCTGGCTCCGGGCTCCGGCCTGGCCCAGCTCAGCTGTTGCAGCCATCTGGGGAGTGAACCAGCAGATGGAAGACCTCTCTCTCTGTGACTCTACCTTTCAAGTAAATTAAAAAACCAAAGCTCTTAGGACAGCAAGTACAACCTTAAACCAAGCCAAGCAGGAGTCTGCGCGTCTCCCACGGAAGCCCCGGAGGACCGGCTCTGCTGCCCGCACGGCCGGCAGGCGCGGAGCCGAGACCTCTAGAGGCTGCCTGCTGGGACGTACGTCCAGGCTTAGCGCGCTGCCTGCTGGGTCTTGGGGCACAGTGACCACTGTCTCTCTGAGGTGCACGGGAAGCTGTTAGGCCGCGTCCCTGAGCTGCGTGTCACTCACACGCCAGTGTGGACCTGCGTCCTCTGCTGCCTGCTAGGTCTTGGCGCAGAGGACGCCTCCTTCGGGCCCTGGACAGGAGCCGGGCTCCGCCTGGGGAGAGGCACTGGGAGAGGCGGGCTCCACCCTGGGAGCACTGGGCACTCCCGAGGGGGCAGCCCAGGCACGGCTGCCTCTGGGCAAGAATCCCTGCCGACAGGTAGGGCACCCAGCGGGAGCAAGGCTGTCCTGGCCATGGTCCCCGGACACGGCAGGACCCGCGCACTCAAGACGCGGTGACTGCTGTTGTCAGGAGAGGGAGCGCTGGGCCAGGGGAGCCCCATGGCGGACTGTGCGAGTGGACGCCACGCGGTGCGCTCCCACTGACCGCCAGCCCCAGCCCAGCCGACCCTTCTGCTCCAGGCCCCACACCAGGGAGGCCCCTCGGGGAGGCAGCCAGGCCGTTTGGCGCAGCATCTCCCAAGTCTTAAGCCACACGCACCTCAGGGACGTCAGAGGGCAAAGGGGCGGCTGCGCAGGGATGGCGAGGCACGTCTCGGCAACACCAAGTACAAGGCGCTCGCCCGCTACAGCCATGAGCAGCGACCCCGGGAGTGCCAGCTTCCCCGCAGGAATGCGGGCCGGCAGGGCAGCACACACCCAGTGCAGGGGCAAGGCCGAGCAGGCCGGGCCTTGTCCCACGCCTCTGCCACCGACGACTGCAGGCAAAGAAGCCCCGGCCCTACCCCCTCAGCAGCGCCACATCGGGGTCCTGCCCACAGCGGGCATCTGTGGCTGCCAGGCACGGCCGCGCCGGTCCTCACCTTTTTTCTCGCGGGCGATCCTCCGCACTCCTTCCCGGAACTCCGACAGCACCTGCAGGTAGGGCATGACCGTGGCCTCGAGCTGCGGGGAGAGGCTCAGGTTCACGCAGGGAAGTGCGCCGCCTTGTACTTACGCTCAGACTGGCGCCCGGCAGCACGCGGCACGGCACAGGTCCACACTGGCGTGCGAGTGACGCGCAGCTCAGGAACGCGGGCCCGACAGAGCTTCCCGTGCACCTGCGGCGGGACGCGTGGTCACTCTGCCCCACAGCAAACGCGCGGTCTCGGGGGGTTCTCTAGGAGCACAGGCTGGACGCAGAGCCGGGCCGTGCCGGCGTCTGGTCAGCGGCCACACCCGTGCTTGTGTCCTGGGGGGCGTGTGGGGCCATGTGGGGCAGTGGTTAAGCTGCGCCCCGTACCAGCTGCTTGTGGGCCGCTATGCCTTCCACTCAGCTTCCCAACAACTGTGCCTGGGAGGCAGCGAAGACGGCCCCCAAATATTCGGGAGGCGCAGTTGGAGTTCTAGGCTCCTGGCTTCCCAGCTCTGGCTGTCGCAGCCGTTTGGGGAGTGAAATCAGTGGACGGAAGCTCGCTCTCTCATTCTGCCTTTCCAACACATGAATGGAGCAAATCTTTAAAGTTACACATGTCCATGCGCTGCCTGCTGCCTGGACACACAGCACCGACACAGAGACCGGTTCCCACAGCCACGGCGGGGACCAGGCGCCCATCGCAAAGTCACGCCACTGAGCGCAGCAGCCCAGCGGGACTCAGTCTCTGTGAAGAGCCTTTGAATTACATTTCTCTCACTGCTAGGGGGTGAAACAGGCTTTCTGCTGTTATTTTATTTAAAAAAAAATTTTTTTAATTAATTTATTTATTTGAAAGGCAGAGTAACAGAGAGGAGACAGAGAGAGAGGGAGAGAGAGAATTGAGATCTTCCATCCGCTGGTTCACTTCCCAGTGGCTGCAATGGCTGGAGCTGGGCCAGGCCACAGCCAGGAGCTCCTTCCAGGTCCCCCACGCAGGTGCGGGGCCCAAGCACCTGGGCCACATTCTGCTGCCTTCCTGGCACAGCAGGGAGCTGGACTGGAAGTGGAGCAGCCAGGACTCCACTCGGTGCCCACTCGGGATACGGCATCACAGCTCCCACTGAGCCCCAGCTCCACCCCCTCCCTGCATGTGCCGTCCGTCAGGGCTGGTGAGCAGACTGAAACAGGAACTGGGGGGAGCTGCCAGGGCCAAGGCGCCTCCAGCCCGGGGTGCAGCTCCCTGGGGCCCAACCTCGCACAGAGGCCGCCAGCCTTGCAGCCGCCGGACTGGCCTCAGGTCCCCATCTGCAGCCACTCGGGCTCTCAGGAGAGCCGCAAGGGTCTCTCCAAGTTGGCCTGGGTCTGGTGACCCCTGGCCATCAAAATGACCATGCTCAGGCACCTGGCCATGTGGGTAACACCAGAGGCCCAAGATGTGGCTTCATTTGAGTCGCCATGGCCATGAAACGTCTGTCTTGGGCCTCATGGCTGACTTCCGGGGGGCCGCCGGGGTCTGACGTGCCGCCCACAGCCATGGCAGCACTTCACATTAAGACACGTCCTGGGGCCCCTGCACAAGGACACAGAAGCTGTGTAGGTTCTTTCTGTAAAGTACCAAGGGGGTTGGTGTTGTGGCCTAGTGGGCAAAACTGCTGCCCATGACGCCAGGACCCCACACGGGTGCTGGGATGCCAGTTCGTGTCCCGGCTGTGCCACTTCCAATCCAGCTCCCTGCTGATGGCCTGGGAGAGCAGCAAACATGGCCCAAGTGCTTGGGCCCCTGCACCCTTGTGGGAAACCTGGACGAAGCTCCCAGCTCGGGGTTTTGGCCTGGCCCAGCCTGGCTGTTGTGGCCCTCTGGGAAGTGAACCAGTGGACGAAGACATCTCTCTCTCTCTCTGCCTCTCTGTTAACTCTGCCCTTCAAATGAATCAAACTTTAAAAAGAGAAAACAGCTACGTGAGGGGGAGCTGGCAGTGAGGATTCTGGCAGAGGGCCCCGAAGCCATGCCCTGCGGGGTGGCGAGCTGCTGACGCCACACGGCTGCAGCCCAAGCAGCACAGAGGCCGCCCAGCCAGGCGGTGTCCCGGGAGGAGCTGCACACGGCGCGGATGGTCAGCGACCGAAGCCCCACCCCACGCTGACCCCACCCTCCGCACCCAGAGCTGGCGCTGACTCAGCCAGAGGCTCAGGCTGCAAGGGTCCGGGCTGCACGGCCCCAGCGCCCTCTCTGTATGTCCAAGGCTTGAGAGTAAGAGACGCCCACGAGACGCCAGGGGAGCCGGAGCAGGGAGGCGCGCCTACGGGCAGATTCCGAGGCCCCGGAGCAGCCCCTGGGCCCAGCGGCCCTACTTACGTCCAGGCTGTGTCCAGGCCCTCCGACGGGGAAGCCCAGGGAGCTTTCCTCTTCAATGGCCCCGAAGACCTAGGAAAAGAAGCAGACTTCAGGGGCCGGCGCTGTGGCGTAGCGGGTAGAGCCGCCACCCGCAGTGCCGCGTCCCACGCGGGATGGAGTCCCAGCTGCTCCACTTCCAATCCAGCTGCCTGCTGTGGCCTGAGAAAGCAGTAGAAAGCACACAGGCCCCTGCACCTGCGTGGGAAACCTGTTAGAAGCTCCTGTCTCCTAGCTTTGGATTGCCCAGCTCCAGCCAGCGCGGCCATGCGGGGAGTGACCAGTGAGGGGAAGACCTCTCTCTGTCTCTGCCGTTTCAAGTAAAATAAATAAAGGTCTTAAAAAAGAAGAAACAGACTTCAGCCGCACGCAGGGCCGCTCCTGGGACGAGCACAGCCGGCGAGCCCAGGAGCCGCCCTTCTGCTGGAGCCCACGACCGGGAAGGGGAAGAAGGTGCAGCTCTGGGCCCGGCACTGTGGCGGAGTGGGCATCCCACGTGGGCGCCAGCTTTAGTCCCGGCTGCTCCACTTCCGATCCAGCCCCCTGCTGTGGCCTGGGAGAGCAGTAGAAGATGGCCCAGGTCCTTGGCCCTTGCACCCACGTGGGAGACCTGTAAGACACTCCTGGCTCCAGGTCAGCACAGCTCTGGGCATTGCGGCCAATTGGGGAGTGAACCAGCAGGTGGAAGACCTCCCTCCCTCCCTCCCTCCCTCTCTCTTTCTCTCTCTCCCTCTACCTCTCTGTAACTCTGCCTTTCAAATAAATAAATAAATCTTTAAAAAGTACAGCTCTGAACACCCAGAACCCAGGCCCGAGGTGTCCTCATGTGCAGCTGGGCGAGTCCGGGCCGAGCTCTGGCCACCTCCCCAGGCTGTGGTCGCCAGAGCCCAACAGGCAGAGGGCCAGGCAGCAGGCACCTGAGGTCCCACAGGCCTCGGGGCGCCGCCCACGGCACGCACAGCGGTGCTGAGGAGCCAGGCTGCACAGGTATCGGGGGTCTAGGCCACAGGGGCGGCGCCCGGCTCACCTTGAGCAGGTGCGTCAGGTACTGGGCGACACTCTGCAGCAGGCCGCGGTTGGGCCTCCTCTTCGCGGCCTTCCGGGCCGCCATGTAGAGGTTGCACTGGCTGACCAAGGCCCGCAGCTCTTCCATGACGGTGCGAGTGTCTACATTGTCACACAAGGCTTTGTGTACCGCCGCCTTCTTGTCGTAGAAGCTGACCGAGACAGGAAGCAGCACGAACGGTCAGGCCAGACACCGCACTGTGGACGCCCTCCACGAGGTCCAGCGGCCCGAGGGCTGCTCGTCAGCAGGCACAGCATCTGCCCGGGGGACCCACACCACCAGGGCCCCCAGAGCAGACGAGCCCCAGGGGGAGGGCAGCCCAGGGGGGGGAGGGCAGCCCAGGGGGAGGGAGGGCCTGAGGGAGGGCACCCGGGGGAGGGCATCCCAGGGAGAGGTCGGCCCCAGGGAGAGGGCAGGCCTGGGGGAGGGTGCCCAGGAGAGGGTGCTGCCACCTTACCTGTGACTCAGCACGGCCTCCTCCTCCTCCCACTTCTCGAACTGGCCGGCAGCGTCCACCGGGGCTCGCAGGAGGTCCTTCACATTGAGGAAGAACTCCTGGAAACGGGAGACTCGGTGAGCAGGCAGGCGCCCTCACCCCGCCCCCGCCCTGGACTGCGGTGCCCAACGCCATGCATGTGTCCGCAAGAGAAGGTGCAGGCCGCAGTGGACACGCTCCGCCCACGGCGGCTGGACTCACGTTCAGGAACCTCTCATACTGGAGCGCCGACTCCATGGTGTTGCTGGAGTAGTCCAGCGTGTCCTTCCAGGAGTGCAGGAGGAAGGCCAGCCGCAGCTGCCGCGCTGCAGGAGACCGCGGGTCTCACTCCACGGCCCAGCCCCCGCCCCAAGCCCCCGCGGCCTCCTCACTCTCCGGCCCTGGCCCCCACCCCGAGCCTCCATGGCCTCCTCACTCTCCAGCCCCTGCCCTGAGCCGCCGCGGCCTCCTCACTCTCCGGCCCCTGTCCCGAGCCGCCGCGGCCTCCTCACTCTCCGGCCCCGGCCCCCGCCCCGAGCCCCCATGGCCTCCACACTCTCCGGCCCCAAGCCTCTGCGGCCTCCTCACTCTCTGGGCCCCACCCCGAGCCGCCACGGCCTCCTCACTCTCTCGCCCCAGCCCCCACCCCAAGCCTCTGAGGCCTCCTCACTCTCCGGCCCCGAGCCTCTGCGGCCTCCTCACTCTCTGGGCCCCACCCCGAGCCGCCACGGCCTCCTCACTCTCCGGCCCCTGTCCCGAGCCGCCGCGGCCTCCTCACTCTCCGGCCCCGGCCCCCGCCCCGAGCCCCCATGGCCTCCTCACTCTCCGGCCCCGAGCCTCTGCGGCCTCCTCACTCTCTGGGCCCCACCCCGAGCCGCCACGGCCTCCTCACTCTCTCGCCCCAGCCCCCACCCCAAGCCTCTGAGGCCTCCTCACTCTCCGGCCCCTGTCCCGAGCCGCCGCGGCCTCCTCGCTCTCCGGCCCCGGCCCCCCAAGCTGCCGCGGCGCCGGGTGGGCCCGCTCACCTGAGTGCTTCTGCAAGGCGTCTTTAATGGTGATGAAATTCTTCAGGGATTTGGACATCTTGCAGCCCGCGATCGTCAGGTGGCCCGTGTGCAGGAAGTACCTGACCCAGCAGTCGTTTTCAAAGTAGGCCTGCAGGAGACGTGGGGAGGCTGCGGCCACCGCGGCACGAGGGCCACTGCCGGCTGGGCGTGGTGTGGGGGCACCGCACCCCCGCCTGCTGGCCTGCCAGGAGCTGCGCGCTGCCTGCGTGGGGCCGCCCCGGGCAGCGGACACGGCTGGCTCACACCGGCCTGTCTGCACCGTGGGAAACCAGAATTCCACCAACCCACCCAGAGGCAGGTGTCAGGTTCCATCAGGAAAGGCCGGGGCGAGGGGGTGGCGCTGTGACACAGCGGGTAAAGCTGCCACCTGCAGTGCCAGCATCCCATGAGCGCCAGTTCAAGTCCCGACTGCTCCACTTCCGATCCAGCTATGGCCTGGGAAAGCAGCAGAAGACGGCCCCAGTACTTGGGCCCCTGCCCCTGTGTAGGAGGCCTGGAGGAAGCTCCAGGCTCCTGGCTTCAGGTCGGCCCAGCTCCAGCTGTTGTGGCCATCTGGGAAGTGAACCAGCAGATGGAAGACCTCTCTCTCTGTCTTTCTGTAACTCTGATTAAATAAATAAATCTAAGAAAAAAAGAAAGGCCGGGGCTGGCTCTCGCCTGGCACTGTGGTGAACAGCATGCTCCCCCCTACCTCTGACTGTGCCAGCTCATTGTCGTGGTGGGGGAACCGCAGGTCAAACCCTCCTCCGTGAATGTCCATCGAAGCTCCCAGCAGGGTGCCCGCCATGGCGGAGCACTCGATGTGCCATCCTGGACGCCCCTGCAGAGACCCAAGCGGCCCGTGGTGACCTGCGTGGCTCACCAAGGCCTCCGCTGCTCCAAGGCAGGGACCTTAACCCCTGCGACCCAGGGCGGGAGTCTGGCCTGGGGGCTGGGCCGCCAGTGCCCACAGCAGCACATGGGCCGGCACCTGGCTCTGCTCCTCACCCCAGCTCTGCTAATGCAGACCTGGGAGGCAGCAGTGGTGGCCCCAGTGCCTGGGGTCCTGCCTCCTGGATTTGGTCCCAGCTGGGCCGCTGTGGGCATCTGGGGAGTGAATCAGCAGACAGGAGCTGTCTCTCTGCCTTTCAAATAAACTAAAAATCCCTCTGAACTGTATTGGAACAGGTGTTAAACTGCACAAGTGGAAAGCCTAAGGGATGGGGCCGGCACCTGTGGCCCCGGCATCCCTCACGGCACCGATTCGAGTCCCGGCTGCTCCACTTCCAATCCGGTCCCTGCTGATGCACCTGGGAAAGCAGCAGAAGACGGCCCCAGTGCCTGGCCCCTGCACCCGCGTGGGAGACCCAGAGGAAGCTCCTGGCTCCAGCGTGGCCCAGCCCTGGCTGCTGCAGCCATTTGGGGAGTGCACCAGAGGGCAGAAGACCTACCTCTCTCTGTCATTCTGCCTTTCAACTCAATGACATACGTCTAAACAAACAGCAGAGAAGAACCCAAGGGGCACTCTCTCCCGTAAAGTTCAAAGCAGCCTCTGCTGCAGCCTGAGTCACTTCCAGAGCCCCCGCCCCCGCCCCAGGCACTGGCGATGGCACTGCTGTCCCAGGGAACAGCCGGCAACGCGGCCCGGAGGGCAGGCGAGCGCCAGAGGCCCCGGCTCTGCCAGGCAACGCCCTCAGGCCCGGTGCTGCTCACCTTGCCCCACGGGCACGGCCAGGACGGCTCCCCGGGCTTGGAGGCCTTCCACAGCGCGAAGTCGTTGGGAGAGCGCTTCTCTCTCAGGCAGTCTGCCGAGACGCTCAGGTCACCTGTGCGGGGGACAGGGACTCAGGACACCCAGCCCCAGCCTTGCACGCCAGCATGCGAGCGAGCCCTGGGAAGCCACACCCCCACCCTGGCCCCGTGGCCTCTTCCGGCTCTGCCAGGAGCCACAGTGTGCCGGGCGGGAGCGGGGGCAGCTCGCAGGGCCACGGCTCAGGGATCCCGGCTCACACAGAGGGACCCCTGAGGCTGCTCCAGGACGCACAAGGAGCTGAGCTGCGGGGAGAGCGGGCACTCAGCTCCTGTGGGCACGGGGCTGCTGGCCCCTGGCACCGGCTCTTACAGGAGCGAGACACACGGACACGAGACACCTGGCCCACGGCCCGCAGCCCGCGGGGTGCAAGGTGGGCAGAGCCCCTGCAAGGAACGTGGCGTCACCACAGGGAGTTTCTCTGGCAAGAGGGGCCAGGACTGAGCCCAGCCCTGGCGGGCAGGGACCGCGGACCTTTCCTGCGTGCTGGCGCCCCCTTGTGGGGAGCCCTGCGGCAGCAAGGGCCAAGCCACTGCCAGGGCCCCGGCTGTGGCCTCCAGGAAGCGCCGGGCTCCATCAAACCCAAGAGGACACTGGGAAACACAGGCGTGCACTGCCGTAGGACGCTCAGGCCAGGGAGTCGCCGTCGCCCTGGGCCCAGGAACATTACGGTATCACTTCCGTGCACTGGCCTGCAGGTTCGACGTGAGCATGGCTACGCACGAAGCTTCGTGCCTGATTTTTTTTAAAGGTATTTTGCAAGAAGTTAGGACAAAGGCTCATCCCCCTTCTCCCACCCAGAGCCCCCGCGGCCACTGCCGATGCTCATGCCCACTTCAGACCACACGGCCCCTCCTCTCCTCTGGCCTCGTCGCTCCCCCGCCCCCACAGCTATGCTCGGCTCAGCCCTGCCCGCCAGGTGCCTCCTGCCCGGCGGGAGCGCTCAGGGCCCGAGGCTGCGCCTGCCCGTGCCACCGCCCGTCTGTGCCAGTTAGCGGCACAGCCACACAGCACCATGCTCCCCGGCTGCCCTGGGGGCGGGGTGGTCACATGGCGGGGGCAATGTCCCGCCCGCCTGCAGCTCTGCTGCCCGGCCACACCTGTCCTACAGGCAGTGGGCGAGCAAACGGGTCCCAGAGCACATGGCGTTTCAGAGCAAGAACAATGCAGCTGGGGCCAGGCAGCGAGGCGCTGGGGCTGTTCCTGCGGCCTTCAGAGCGGCCCCCTGCCCGGACCCCGAGGGCCCTCCCGCCCAGCCCCGCCTCGCCTGCCCTGTTCGCTAAGGGCTTTTAGAACAAGATCGCAAGTCATGCGCAGTTTGTGTCCTGATTTTTTTTTTCTTTTAAATTTGAAAGGCAGGGAGAGAAATTGTCCACCTGCTGGTCACTCCCCAAGTCCTACGAGGCCAGGGGCCGGGAGCCAGCACGCTGGCGCGGGTACGGCTGCCCCAGCGCCGACGCCTGGCCCGGGTTTGCTGCGAGGCTGCGGGGAGCTGTCGGTTCTCTCTCCTGCCTCCGTGACGCGACAGCGCTCGGCCTCGTGAGCGCGTGCACTTCATCTCCTCTCCCCCCACCAGGCAGCTGCTGCTTGCCCAGCTCTGCTGACTGTACACTGGGCTCGTCAATCCTCGCTTCTTAACGACACACGAGTGCCGCGGCTGGAGCAAGGCGACCTCCCGGCTGGGTGCGCACTTGGCGGCGCCGCCCAGCTCTCTGCCCCGCGAGGGCGCGGCACGGGCACGGCAGAGGCTCCCCGCAGCGGACAGACCTGCAGCCCCACAGGCCCTAGGCGCACCCTCCCGCCCCAGGCAGTGCTCCGTGCGTGTCACACACACAGGACACTGTTTGGGACGCCCGAGTGCCGGCTCTGCTTCCAGCTCTGGCTGCCGCACTTCAGGCCCTGCGGGCCGGCAGCAGATGGTTCAGCCGGACCCTGCCACCCATGTGGGAGCCCAGATGCCTGCCGCCTGGCCCGGTCCTGACCGTGGCAGACGCCTGGGGAGACCGGCAGACAGCTCTCCGTCTGCACCGTCTCTCCCTGCGGCTCTGCCTTTCCTGTGCGGTAAATCCGACTCTGCTTCCTGGTAATGCGTCCTGAGAGGTGGCAGACGATGGCTCAGCCGCCCACGCAGGACACCCGACGGCGCGCTGGGCTCCTGGCTCTGGCCTGGCCCAGCCCCAGCCGTTGAGGCCATCTGGGGAGTGCACCAGCGGACACAGGCTCCGCGTGTCTCTGACTCTGCCTTTCAAGTAGATGAAAGGAAACCAACAGGAAAACAGCACAAAACCAAACAGCGAGCCTCACACTCGGCCACTCCCGAGGCCCCGCGGGCCAGCAGCGGCTCCGGGGACGCGCGGTTCGCGCGTGCGGCTTTTCTTACCTTCCCCTTCCTGAAGGGCCGCCTGGTCACCCACGGCTTCGGGCACCAGCTTCCCGTAGGAGTGTTTCTCACTGGAGGCAAACTTCGCTGTGTCGAAGTAGACGGAGCCGTTGGAAACATAGCTGGAAACCACGAAGAACGGGGACTCGTGGGACCGCGGGGACAGCCTGCGGAGCCCTCAGACCTCGGCCGCGCCCTGCTCTCGGCGGCGGCGGCAGCAGCACAGACAGCAGGGACCACCCAGCCTGACCGCCCCGCCTCTCTGAGTCTGTCCTCTGCCCCTGCATGGCCCAGCACAGCGTTACAAGCCTGCCGCTTACTTCTGCCCGGTCCCCTCTGGCCTTGGGCTTGCCCACACTGCACACTGGGCACACAGCCTTGTGCCACCCAGCAGATCTGCATCGAGGGGGAGGCCGCACCATCGGCCCAGGCCTGAGCTGCTCTGGGCAGCACGCACGGGGGGTCTGGTCACTGCAGCTCCTGCCTGCCTCATCCCCTGGCCGGGTGGCAGGGAGGCGGCCCCAGGCCCCCAAGCCTCACCGGGTGCTGTGCCCAAGCAGGGTCCAGCAAACAGGCGCTGAGAGCCACAGACGCTGGGCTGTGAGCCCTGCTGGAAACGCCAGCTGCAGAGACGCGCGGGCCGAGCGGCCGAGCCGGGAGCCTGAGGCCCGGGAGGCCCAGCACTCACCCATAGCCGTTGTCCACGATCTTCTGGACGAAGCTGATGATCTCCGGCACATACTCGCTCACCCGGGTTAAGACGTCTGGGGGGAGAACCTGTGGGTGGCGAGGCAATGTCCTGGGGGTTTCCCTCCGAAACCTGCGACCTCGGAACCACGCCGCAGGGAGCACCGACTCAGACAGCAGGAAGCCCCCGTGCCCCGTGGTCCTCGGGCGTCTCAGCCCTGCAGGCACCCGAGCCCCCGAGCCAGGTCCCCTGATGCCCGCCTCAGGGAACAGCCCCAGCCTCACAGCCGTCTCTCCCCTCTGCCCCACCAGAGGCCCCTGGGAACAGTAAGGACTGCGCCCTGTGGGAGCCCTGGGCCCCGAGCTTCTGGGCAGCCACACGGGCCAGGCGTGGAGACAACACAGGAAAAGCCTTCCTGCCTCGTGGCTCAGGCTCAGGGCGGACTGAGCCACTCCACTGAGCCGGCCAAGGGAAGCGGTGTAGCCCACCACAGGCCCCACGTCACCAGGGGCCGGGACCACGGCGAGGCACTCACGTTCAGGGCCTCCATGTCCTTGTGGAACTCCGCCTCCCAGAACCTGGGCAGCGTGGAGAAGATGGAGTTGTCAGTGACCTCACTGCCAAACCTGGCGTCCAGCCACTCGGAGAGCAGGTCCTTGGCTTCCTCCAGCAGCACCTAGAGAGAGAGGCAGACACCCGGGCATGGGCGCCGCGCCCCACGCCGGCACACCGAGCCCTAAGACGCGCAGCCAGACACGGGCGTGGGCGCCGCGCCCCACACCGGCACACTGAGCCCACAGACGTGCAGCCAGAGTCGCCAGCTCCCGGCTGGATGGCTACAGCCGCCTCCAGCCGGCGCTGTGGGTGTGACAGGCGTCCCCACGGAGCTCCCGCTGGAAGGCAGACGCCAGTCCCCCACCATGCACGGCGGCATCTGGGGCTCTGCGTGACCTGGAGCAGGGTCAGGGTCACAGCCCAAGGCCAGAGGTCCGAGGTGAGTCAGGGGACAGGGTGGCTGTGGCCGGAAACACGACAAACGCCCCACAATAAAACCTCCCAGGCTGGGACCCCCCCAAACATCCACGCACACACACTCCTACTCTGAGGGTGGGGAGCTCATGGCTCCTGGCTCCAGCCTGGCCCAGCCCTGCCATTGCAGCCATTTGGGGAGTGAACCAGTGGGTGGAAGATCTTGATCTATCATTCTGGCTTTCAAATTGAGAGAGAGAGGGAAGGAGAGGGAGGGAGAGGGAGGGAGAGGGAGGGAGAGGGAGGGAGGGAGGGAGGGAGACGCTCTAAAACCAAGGGGGACCCGAGGCTGCGAGCTGCATCCCCTGCACCCGCTCCCTGACCCCACCCCACAACGCAGGAAGAGCCTGGCAGACGCAGACCCGTCTGTCGTGGGTGTGGCAGCCCGCGGGACCACAGCAGACAAGTCTCCATCCTTCATCAGCGACCCTGACCCCAGAACAACAGAGCCACAGCCTCCTCTGCCGGGTGCTGCCCAAGCTGAGCACAAACCCACCTGCAGCCAGCCGCGGCCTCCACTCTGCAATAGGGAAGCCCCCGCGCCCTGCTCCAGGCCAGGGGGGAGGCGGGAGGAAGGCATGTGAGGTGCACGGCCCAGGGGCACAGCCGCTCAGACCAACCTGACCCAGAGGCGAGAGCCGGCATCCCCCCAACAGACCCAAGGCCACTCGCAGCAGCTCCTCTACCAGGAAAATCCTGCGACATACCCCAAGGGGGGAAAAGTGGCTCGAAGGCGCAGGGCAAGCTCCAGGAGACGTGGCAGGAGGCTGGGGGGCCCGGCGGGGTAAAGAGACCCCAGGACCGTGCCCAGTGCCCTGCTTCTGATCCGGCCCCCCTAAAGTGCTTGGGAAAGCAGCAGACGATGGCTCCAGTAACTGGGCCCCTGCACCCACGTGGACACCTGGATGGGGTTCCTGGTTCTGCTTTGGCCAGCTGATGTGGCCACTTGGGGAGTGAACCAGAGGATGGAAGATCTCTCCTTCTCTCTCCCTATCACTCTGCCTTTCAAATAATAAGTAAATAAATAAAAAAAAAAACTGATAACGCCCCTCACTGGGCTCCCAACAGAGACGGAGCAGGATGCTGGATTGGAAGCGGATCAGCTGGGACACAAACCGGCGCGCACCTGGGAAGCTGGCAGTGCAGGCAGCGGCTTCACCCGCTACGCCACAACACTGGCCCCGGAACAATTTCTTGACACATCTCCTGTGGGGAGCAACTCGGACTAGACTAAGTTACTGGAATTAAGACTTATTCTATGCATCTGCTCTCCCACAATATGGCGCTGGGAGAAGAGAAAACAGCTTCTACACAGCTGCCTCCAGTTCAACCAATAAACTGTAGGACCTGCTCCTGATTGGAGGAGAGCAGCGTACTCAGCGTGTGGGTAGCAGAGTTGGGATTGGTGGAAGAGGACTATAAAGGAGGAGAGAGACAACATGCAGGAGGAACATCTAAGAGGAACATCTGAGGGAACACCTGTGCAGCCCCCGAGAGAGCCGGCCGGCGGTGTGCCGCTCCCCCGCGGAAGTGGGGAATGTGGCAGGGGGAACCGCCCTTCCATGGAGGTGGAAGGGACAGTAGCCAACCCGGGAAGAACCAGCAGCAAACCCGGGGAGGGCCGAGCAGACCAAAGAACAGCGCAGGGTCCTGTGTCGTTTCTCCACGAAGACGGGGAGCGACATAATGGTGCCGTGACTCGGATATGAAGCCTAGGCAGGGCTTAGTGTCGTTCCTCCATGAAGAGGGGGAGCGACATAACGGTGCCGTGACTCGGATAGGAAACCTAGGCAGGGTTTAGTGTCGTTCCTCCACGAAGAGGGGGAGCGACAATCTCCCAAAACTTAGGAGACACAGCGAGCAGACACCTGCACAGCAGTCACGATGCTGCTCGGGGCAGCAGGCCCCGTGGCGTGGCTCGGGCGCCTGGGTCGAGGCCCAGCCACTGCACGTCTCTGCCCCAGCTTCCTGCTAACGCACCTGGACACACCTGATGACGACCCTCGAACTCAGGTTCCTGCCACCCAAGAGGTAAACCCAGGTGGAGCTCCCGGCTCCCGGCCTCGGGCTGGCCTGGCTCTGGCCACTGCAGGCACTTGGGGAGAGGCATGAAAGGTCCCTCGCTCTCTTCCTCTCTCTCTGCCTTTCCAGTGAAATGAAAATAGCAAAAACTTAAAGCAACAGCAATAGATCAAACACGCTGTATCTGTCAGGAGACGTCGCCGGCAGCCACTGGTGCTGGGGTCTCACAGCCCACGTCAGGGCCTGGCCTGAGTCCCAACTACTCTACTTCCAATCCGGCCCTCTGGGAGGCAGCCTGGGAGGCAGCGGGTGATGGCTCGAGTATGTGGGTCCCTGCCACTCACGTGAGACACGTGCAAGGAGCTCTGGGCTCCCGGCCTTGGCCTGGACCAGCCCTGGCTGCTGTGGGCATCTGGGGAGTGAACCAGCAGACAGAAGATTTCTGTCTCTTTCTCTCTGCCTTCCAAATAAAATGAAATAATTAAAAATAAATAAGCCGCAAATAAAAATCGAGTAGCTCCTAAGTCATCCCCTGAGGCCAGCATCACCCTCACAGCAAAACCAGAGACCCCAGCGAGAAAGCAACAGGTCAACACGAGCGGGAACCCGCAGCCGAGGACCAGCCCGGTGAGCCTGGCGACGCAGCGGGAACCGCCCAGGCCATGAGGCTGGTTCAACACGGGAGCATCCGCACACGGAGTCCGTGGCAGCCCCGTGAGCAGATGGCGGCAGGAAGACACCCGGCAGAGCCCAGCCTCTCCTACACAGGAGACGCTCTGAGTACAGCAGGCACGCGGGGACCTCCTCGGCCTGGTATTAGGGCGGTGACACGTGGCGCCCGCGAGGGCCAGGACCAGGCCAGGGCGAGCCCGCGCTTCCTCTCCCATCTGCAGGAAGCCGAGCAGCGCCGTGTTTAACCACGGATGCGCACCGTCTCCGCGGAAACCCCAGGGCGGACCAGCAGACTTCCAGACAAACAAGTCCGCGTGGCGCACAGGCTCACGTACCCCGAGCGCTTGCCTGTCGCACACCAGTGAACGGGCAGAATTCAAAGTTAACGTGATACCGGGGCCGGTGCTGAGCCACGGCCTCGGACGCCGGCATCCCACGTGAGCACAGGTTCAAGTCCTGCTGCTCCGCTTCTGGTCCAGCTCCCGGGAACGCTCCTAGGAAAGCAGTGGACGATGCCCACGTGCCTGGGCCCCTGCAGCCCCGCGGCAGACCCGGGAGAAGCTCCTGGCTCCCGGCGAAGATGAACACTGGGCAAACAAGCACACCAAAAGAAGGCCCACATCACGTGCCGTCAGGGGACGCAGGCGCAGACAGCCGGACACCACCAGGCGCTGTCACAGCGGCCGAAACGCCTACCGCACAACGCCGGCTGCACGCCGAGCATAGGAGCGCTCGCTGGCGGCTCGGCCGCTTCTCACGAGACCGCCCGGTCTGGCCCCGCCACCCGGCGACCACGCTGCTGGGCACCCACTCAGAGCTGAGAAGCCAGACCCAGGCAAAACCCCGCCCGGGGCGCTGACGGCAGCTTTCCCGCCGCTGCCAGGAAAGGAAGTGACCAAGGCGCCCTCCGGTGAGGGGATGGCGAGGACACCCGACAACGGGCGTGGAGCGGTGCCCGGCGCCAGAGAAACGAGCTCTTGGGCCCCGAACCACGCAGAGGCGACATGCCGCCTGCAGGCAGCCCGCCCCGGGGGACCCCAGCCGTCTCTGCTCCCGGCTCCCAGACCCCAGACCCCTAGCACCCTCCTGGGCGACAGGAGCATCCCTCGTCCTAATGAAGCAGCTCTCGGGCTCCCGGCAACCTCAGGATGGGGCTGGTTGCCCAGAGGGCCAGCCTAGGGATGAGAGTCAGAGTCCACAGCCCCACCCCAGCCTTCAGGGACAGGGAGGGGCCGAGAGTGGTGCTGATCACCTCCGCTCCTCGCCGTCACGTGTACCCGGGTGATAAAGACGCCATAAGCCATGAAGCCCCAAAGGGACAAGGTTCAGACTGCTGCATGGTGGACACCAGGGGGCGTCGGGCAGCCATGTGCCTGTGGGTGCAGAGGCGCCACCGCCTCCCTCACCGCGCAGACCCCTGCTCACGCCACTCACGACCCTCGAGGGGCCTGCGGACCTCACCGTGAGCCACAGAACCCCAGCCCTGAGGCGTGGCGTCTGGCACAGCACCAGGAGGCCTGCAGCCCATGCTGCGTCCCGGGTCCAAGCCCAGCTTCCCGCCAACGCGCACCCCGGCGGGGCGGCGGGCCGCGGCTTCACGTAGACTGCCGCCGCCTGCCGAGGGCACGCGGGCGATAAACCCCGAGATGGAAGGCCGTGTGCCTTTCAGACGACCAAACACGTGACAGCGTCTGCGAACCTCTAGAAGAACACAGGAGTGCATTTACATCGGCGTGGGGCAGACTCAAGGCACAGAGCACTCCCCAGGACAGAAGCAGACGGCGGCTCTGCGCTGGAATCCAGCACCTCATTCTGAGAAAGCGGACCGGGCAGCGCAAACCAGCCGGGAGACCAGCCGGGAGGGGCGGCTGCCGCGGCTGGGCCCCAGAGGGGGAGACGGGCACACCCAGAGCACTGGCTCGCCGCCGCCCGCTCCCTTCACGGTCATCAGGAGAGCCTGGCGCTGCCATGTGGGGGTACACGCACAGTCGGGACGCCCGGACGGCTCGAGCAAGAGCGACACTTGCAGGGACGCGCACCTGAAGCTGCCGGCCGAGAAAGGCCTGCGGCAGGGTGGCCCCGGCACCTGGGCGCTGTGCCAGCTCTTCTCCTGGGAGCTGAAGTGCCCCTGGCGACCCCAGGCAGGACACCCCCTGGCAGCTGTGACCACGCGACCCCGGGCAGGACACCCCCTGACAGCTGTGACCACGCGACCCCAGGCAGGACACCCCCTGGCAGCTGTGACCACGCGACCCCGGGCAGGACACCCCCCTGCTGGCTGAGACCGCGCGACCCCGGGCAGGACACCCCCTGGCAGCTGTGCCCACGCGACCCCAGGCAGGACACCCCCCGGTGGCTGGGTCCTTCCTGCAAGAGAGCTTCAGACACCTGTGTGTGCATCTGGAAGGCTCCCCCTCCATGTGTCCCTGCTGTGTCACTGTGCCGAGTCCTGTGAGTGCTTCCAGAGAATCCCAGACACAAAGGCCACACGGACACGGTCACTCGGCTGTGCCCTGAATCCCAGGTGCCCAGCCTGAAGAACCCTTACAAATGTGACTCCTCAGCTCACAGCTCATCATTCGCATTAAGGGAACACAACCACAGCCACAGGGTAGCGGCTCCGCCCATCTGGGTGGAAAAGACGGAGCCCTGGTACGCAGGGGTGGGGGTGGCTTTGTGGTACAGACACCGTGGGACCAACACCAGCTCGCCAGAAGGCTAAAAACAGAATTGCCGGGGCTGGGGCTGTGGTGCAGTCCGTTAAGCCACCGCTGTGACGCCGGCCTCCCATGCTGCAGCGTCAGTGCCGGAGAAGGTTCTAGAAACGCACAATGGGGACGGCCACACAGCAGTATGAACGTGCTTAATGCTGCCAGACCCTGCACGTAAACAAACAGCTACGATGGCAAATTGTACACGCGTTTTACCACGGTTTTAAAAGAAAGGCTCTCAGTGGAACGCCGGGAGACAGAGAGCCCAGGGGTCAGGACAGCAGACCCACGGCACGGCCCCAGGCAGGCAGGCAGGCGGGCGGACGGCACCTGTGCACCTGTGCTCTGAGGGGGGCAGGCCTGCAGGCCGTGCGCACAACTCCCGTCACGCCCCACCACCTGCGTCTGCCGGGGACGCCCGGGGAGGGAGACGGGGAAGCGGGCCTCAGGGGAGGACAGAGGTGCCCTGCCTGCCCCTGCTGGCCCTGCAGCCTCCCTCAACAGCGGGGCACCCGGCACCAGACGGGAGCTGGGGGAGGGCGCGGGAGGCCTTTCCAGCCACACTTTCTGCTCCCGTCTCTGGCGCCTCCCTCTCTACTGCACAGCCCTGGGGGGACCCCCACCGAAGGCCACGCCCCCGTCCCAAAGGCACGGCCTGCCTGTGTGCTGGAAGTGAGGGAGGGGCCCCGGGGGCAGGAGCAGGACTCCCGGGGACCCCACGTCTCACTGCGGTGGGACCCAGCTCTGCCACGTGGCCGTGGCGGGCTCGGGGCAGTTTGGAGTGCAGACCCGTCCCGCGGCCGACGCGGCGCTCACCTGCACGCAGCTCTGGACTTCCTCCTCGGCCAGCCGGGCCTCCAGCGCCCTCTCCAGCGGCTCTGTGGCACGCCTCACCGCCTGCTGAGTCCGCTCCAGCATCTGCCTCTTTTCCGGATCCACGGTCTCGCTCAGCTTCACAGAAAACGGCTGCAACCGCGAGGAGACAAAGCTAGCACCGACCGTGCAGCTGGCCCGAGCTCGCACAGCTGTCCCGGCGGGAGCCGCACTGGGTTTTCCCACTGCCCCGGCCCTAGAGAAGCTGCGCCAGTGGCTTGGACTCAAGCCCCTCCCCCCAGGTGACTGGCAGGGCAGTCAGCCTCTGCGAGCCTCGGTCCTCCCGTGCAGGGCGGGTCCCGGGCCGGCCCTGCCGGGGAGGCCTTGTGAGCTGCAAGCTCACTGGACGGCCCAGCGAGGGCTGAAGGCAGTGCAGCGGCTCACTCTGGCCACGGTGCGCGGCACAGGACGCTTGTCAGCAAGAACACGCTACTCTAGAGACACCCTCTCGCAGGCCGGGGCCACAC